AAAACTAACTTATATAAAAAAAAGAAACTGGAAAGCATAGAAAAAACAGAATAGAAGTAGAAAAATAATTTGGTATACAGCCCCATACAACCAAATGGTAAAGAACAAAATAGGACAAAAATTCCTTGCATTAATCGTTAAGCACTTTCCTAGAGAAAGTAAACTAAGTACTATTTTCAATAAAAAATACACTAAAATTAAGTTACAGCTGTACTGAAAACTTAGAAAAAATTATTAAGAAACATAATGCTAATATCTTCAATAAACACTTAGACAAAAACCAAAGAAACTTAGACAGTATAAAAATAGAGACAAAAAGAGATGAAGATAAACAAAAATTATGTAACTGTAGAAACCCTCATAACTGTCCTGTACAAAATAAATGTCGCACAGAATCATTAGTATACCATTGCAATATCTCATCTATTGAGAATCCCGAAAACATAAAAATCTATATAGGTTGCACAAGCCATGAGTTCAAAAAGCGGTTCAATCAACATCAAAGTTCATTTAGGATAAATAAGTACAGAAACTAGACATCGCTTTCAAAGTATTTCTGGCACTTAAAAGAATCCAATAAAACACCTACAGTAAAATGGAAATTAATAAAAAAAATGCTAGAATATTTAGGTCATTAAATAACCCATGTTCTTTGTGCATACATGAGAAAATATATATTACTAAGTTTATAAAAAATAAAAATTTACTGAATCTGAGAAATGAAATAGCTATTTTTTGCTGTCATTGTCAAAAATTTTCCTTAAATAATATTTAAAAATAAACTAAAAAAATGGGAGCTAATAATATACATACTTATATTTGATATGAAAAAATAAATTTAAATAATGTAAGTAATTCTATTTCACTTACTTGTTTTTAAAAAGAAATATATAGTCAATTAGTAATTAAGAGTAAAAATATTTTAAAATTGTACTTAAATAAAACGTATTCTAACCATTTAAACACTCCAAGAAAGACTCTTTACGTATATACAAGTTAGAAAAACATGCCGAAAAAATTTTGCCGTTAATAATAAATAAAAAAAAAAACAGACGACATGCATTTAACGGATGTCAGAATTCGTTGAAAAATACACTCCTACCCTCCCTAAACTTAACCTCTCTTTTGAATTTAACTCACAATTGATACAGCAATAGTTAATAAAAATGAACACGCCACCGCCCCTATCAGAATGATTGGATTTCTCTGTATCCTTGGAAAAAGTAAATTATGAATTTATATGTGCGTTTAAAACTCAGTAAATTTAAAAGTAAGTTATTCCAATATTCGCTTAAAGATGAAACGGAACTAATGCTTTTAATTTAATTATATAATTAAATTTAAAATTTTTAGCTTCCATTTTTGAAACATGGTTATTACTGTGTACCGAAAAAACATATTTTAAATCAGTTAATTTATAATATGCTCTGTAAATTTACATTGAGCACTGTTTTGCAAAAATCAAAATAAAAAAATATCAATAAGAACACTGGGTTATATATCTTACTTTTATATATATATATATATATATATATATATATATATATATATATATATACTTCTTCTTTTATATTATATCATATACTGTGTCCATTTAGGACGTGGGCGAACATGGCTCTCTACAAATGCCTATCCTTTCCAGCTCTAAGCAATGTTTGTCGTTTTCTAAGAGGTAACAAGCATGACTTAGAGCCTAAAAGGATAAGAAGTTGTGGAGAGTAACGATCGCCTTCGTCTTGAAGAAAAATTCACTGTTATAGCCTTTTGATTGACTCAGAGAAACCGGGTAAATATCGATAGACGTTAATTTATTTTACGCACGATTAATCCTAGTCGGCCAACACATACAAGTAGCCAAAAAGAAGAAAAAAAAGAAATAAAATAAAAAAAGAAATAAAAAAATGTATCGCTGACTGCAGTTGGAAACAAGCAGCCTTTGCGTCTTTAATTATGTAAATGACTACATTTTTGGCTATGCGACTGGGAATGCCGGAAACAAACGTTGTTTTTGTATTGAGAACGATTCGTAAATGATCTGTAAAATGAATGGAATTAAAACGATACTATCAACTTGAGTTAAATTAATTCTGCTTAATTCATTCACTTGCATGTTAGCTCACTCTTTATTCTGTTTGAGTGACTACCACAATCTATTGTTATATTAATCAATCTATTTCAATCACGCAGTCTATTCTAAGACAGCTTACCTGCTTATACACACGCGCGTGTTCGGGCGCGCACACACACGCATATATATTTAAATGTGTCTGCTCACATCTATCTATCTATCTATCTATCTATCTATCTATCTATCTATCACGGGTGTCTGCTCATATCTATCTATCTATCTATCTATCTATCTATCTCAGGTCTTCTCATATTTCCCTATATCTGTCTGTCTATTATCTATCCTGCGTGTCTGCTCATATGTATGTATGCATCTATCTATCTATCTATCTATCTATCTATCTATCTATCTATCTCGTGTCTGCTCATATCTGTCTCACTATCTCTCTCTCTCTCTCTATATATATATATATATATATATATGTGTGTGTGTGTGTGTGTGTGCGTGCGTGTGTGTGTGTATCTAGGCAGCAATCCTTCTTTCATGCACATTTCATTGAATACGACAGACAAGGTGCTTTATATATATATATATATATATATATATATATATCCTGTGTCCGTTCATGTCTATCTATCTATCTATCTATGGATAGTTATTTCAATCTTCAAGTAATGTCCAGTTGTTCTGGCCTTGTGACGGATTAATGTTTGCTTGGTAAATATCTATGTATCAGTCAACAATGTCCATTGCACATTCTCCTTGTATCTCTTACAGTTCTAACTCCGTTAAAACCAGTATTTCGAATGCTGATTCCCTAAGCAGACAAATTAATTAGAAGAAGGCGAAATAAAAAGTTCTTCCCCACTTAGCTGTCTAGCATAAAGACTTAGTTCATAGATTTATAAAATCCATAATAAGCACCTATTATAATTAGTTAAACAAAACAGATGTTCTTTTTTCGATATCAATTTCTCTATAAGTGTTTCCTTGTGACTAATGTTTTCCCAATACAAAGCCCAAGCGCCAATCATAGTAGAAGGTTCCTGTATGGTGTTTCATTAGTATAATGAGGTTCATGAGGCTATGCTATATTGAGGTTCATGAGGCTATGCTATAATGAGGTTCACGAGGCTATGCTATAATGAGGTTCATGAGGCTATGCAGGAAAAGTATTTGTTAACTGTAGACTTGAAGAAGGCAAGATTGTAAATGGGAAAACATTCTCGCGGGAGTCTGTTTCACAAAGTATGTGTTCTTGGTTTCGTGCTTCTTGCTAATTGGATACGAAGGTAACTGGGATAATTTATCGTTGTGTGGATGACATAGCGGGTCCCAGTTGCAAAAGTCAAGGCTGATGGGACCAAGGTGTGTAGCTCGTCAGAACATATCCCATGGGAATAGCGACAGGGCAGCGGCGAGAGCCGCCGGAGATTTCATCTGTGGGAAACGCGTTGTAAGTTGGAAAATAATTAATTAACCACAAGTCCGCGTAGAATCTTTTAAACTCTATTTAAGACAGGCAAGTGAGGACTGGGCAGCGCCAGACCAGATATGACAGCAATACTGTTAGTATTGTAGCCATGGCCTGATCTGTCACTTGTAATGTAGAGTGTCGCAGAGAGAGTCATATAGCCACTGAAGTGGTACAATGAGCCGATCATTTTCTCAGCGTCTTCGACAATAGATTGTAAGAATGAGTTCAAGTTGAGGTGTGTGGTGAGATTTTTCCCCGATAAATGTTCAAGGTAAGAACACTCTTTGAGAGAACACCCATCCATCGGTGAACGTTACTTAATTTTGGATGTATTCAATTTTACAAGACAGTTCTTCCATTACTGATCCACTTGGGCTTGGTCAGGGGAGAGATGAGCTAAGAGGTTCTCATAATCCAGAGTTCTCAAGGTGCATCTAGTGGTTTAGAATTAGAATTAATTATACAGCTACAAATTCTAGAAATCATAATGAGAAAAGATAGCTTAGCAAATGGGACACTCACAGAAGTTATTGAAGGCAAGAGGGCAAATGGAAGCAGTGAGTAAACTACGTAACGATCATCTGTAAATGAATATTACAGCAGGAACTGAGAGGGTCAGTAAAAAGACAACAAATCCTAAGTAAATAGGAGATTGTGGAGAGCCATTATCACCAACTTCCTGAAGGGACACGTCACAAAGAAGAGGTACATTGCGTCTGAATTTGGTTGAGAGAAAACGGGTTGGTTGCTGACTGCATGCTCAGCTGACTGGGGAAATTGAGACATCACATTTTACATTCTTTCTTTTTATGTGTCATGTCCTTTCAGGATGTAGGCGATCGTGGCTCTCCACCTCCCTCTATCCCTTGCAGCTTTCAGCAAGTCCCTTCCCTCTGCTTCCTCCCCTAGACCACGTTCTGTCATCGACTTGCTTAAGTCCGCCACGTATGTCACGCGCTGTTTTCCCTTGTCTCTCTTTCTTTCTGTTCGACCCGTGGGTATCAGATACTCCAGGCCCTCCTTCCTCAATATATGTCCCAGAAACTTCAGCTGCATCTTTCTGATGTTAAGTATAAGCCTCCTCCTTATTTGCAACCTCATTTAGATCTCATTTTTGCTCACAAACTCGGTCCATGATATCCTTAGCATCTTTCTGTAGAACCACGTCTCTGTCGCCTCGAGTTTGAGAAAATAATCCAACATTCGCTGCCGTAAAGAAGGATATGTGTCGCGTAACAGTTCAGTATTCTTTTCTCGCAATACTCTGCCCAGCTTTTGGAATGAGTCCTTGGCCACCCCAATTCGTCTACGGATCTCCGTGTCGCACTTACTGTCCTCTGTCAAGATGCTTCCCAAGTATTTAAATTTCCACGTCTGCTTGTACTTACGTACAAAGTATAATTTCATTTTTAGACTTTGAAAGTTTGTCTCCATAAACTGATTAAACATTCATTAAGCTTAGCCCCGGAAGATAGCCAAATTAAGTCAGTAGAGGATTGGTAGACTGTTCTACTAATCTCGCAACCCCCTTGAAAATCAGTATTTGAAATTCTGTCATTTTATTTTAATTCGAATAGTGATCTCTGTTACCTGTGGGGACTTTCTTTAATCATTTAACACTAGCAAGGCGATAACGCCACTAAAATGCAAGCTGTTAACGGGAGTGAAAGAGCACCAGAAGACTTACTGGCAAGAAAGAAAATGGCGATTGATACTGCATTTCGTTTTTTGAAAATTTAGCATGCAAGCAAAAAAACGGAATGAATTTTCTCAGTCGAGAAGTGTGAAAAAAGAAATTATTAGAGTAGAACTTACGCTTACACTTAGCTAATTCATCATTAAAACGGTGAGACCTAATTTCCAATCGAGTAGTACGATTAAATACATGTACAAAAAAGAACTCAGTAGAACCATATCCAGAAAATGGCTCGAAAATATTTGTTCGAAAACATTTATTTGAAAAACATATATTCGAATTGTAAGTTGTTTGAATGAAAATGAATCAAAAGTTCAATGATAATTATTCGAAATACCTGTTTGAAATACGTATGTGGTCTTGCTTTGAGAGAGTCAATGCTGATTTACCTACAATTAATAATGCCTTTGAACGATGGCATAGGGCTTTTTGCAGTAAATGTCATCCCATCATCCTGCAATATGGAAATTCTGAGATACTGTTAAAAGGAACAGGACTTGCAAGAAATTAATATTGCAAAAGTTGCAGGTTGCCAATGTATGAAGACTGCAAAGAAACACCACGACGTAAATGAAAAACTTAAAAAATTAATGGCGTCCTCTTCAGTGGTTGACTATTTGCGTGGAGTATCATATAACATAAAGTTATAAGGAATTTTTCTTACTATTTTTTTTAAGCATTTCACCCCAAGCAAGGCGGGAAGCCACTAGCACGCAAGGGGTTACAGAGGATTTGGAGCGAGAGCAGATAGTAATGATAGAGGAAAGGATGAGGAGAAGGATAGTGGATAGATCAAGGCAACTGGAGATGTCGATTGACATTACATTTGAATAGTTGAAGATTACAGCTATCAGGGAAACCGGAAAAGGGGAGGGAGTTCCACAGACGAGAAGTGCAAGATATGAAGCTATTGGAGTAGAAGAGACGGCTACATTTAACAGTTTCGACAGTGAACGGGTGAGAGCGGGATGCCAGCCTCGTAGGACGCTGGAATTCATGAAGTCTGGGAACCAGCGAGAGCTGCTCATTGGAACAGTTACCATGAAAGTATTTGTAAAAAAAAAAAAGACAGAGAGAGGCGAAGTTTTATTAATGATATTTGTATTTCGAATAATTATCATTTGTTTATTTACAACTGGCATGAAAATATTATGGAAAAGACATACGGAAGTCACGTCAAAGTGGTGGGAATGCGACTAAAGTCGAGATGTCTGATCGGAATCATTTACATTACGGACTCTTCATGACTGTGGAAAGAAAATACATTTGGTTGTTTTCCGGGAAGTTAGCATCAGTCAAGCTTATGGAAGGCAAAAGTGATTTCTGATGAAATTAAAAAATAGCATTTCCTTTTAGAGGCTTCTGAAATTACAAACCATTTCTTGCCCCAGTTAACAACTGACGAAACTTTGTCATCTTATCAAACAAAACGCTTTACGATGTTGTACGTAATGGTTCTCGTTTGTTTGACTACGCAAGTAAAGCACACTAGAATTGGTCAGTATTCGATTGAGGGCAATTTAGTGATACCGCAGAAGGCAAATATTATTTGGCCTGATATTTGAAAAAAAAAAAAAATTTTCTTCGGGATATATTATTGTTCCAAATATATTTAAAATCTTTATTCTATATTTTTAACTTAACTTTTTTCTCGACTAAGTAGAAAAATAAATCTTTAAGCAGATATGGCGCCAAAAATTAAAAATGTCGGACGTGAGAAGTTTTGTAACGATTGAAATAAGTGATAATCTGACGGCGGGAGGTTATGTTGGTACAACGGGTGTAGTAAGTCATCCCAGCTAAGGTGTATAGATTTCTGCTGAGACTACAAAAAAATACAAAAAAAAACAAACAAAAAAAACAAAAAACACCTGCGACCTGATTTTGTCCTGATAGAAAACAATGTTCTTCAGACTGGTCGGTTAGGAACGCTATCCATCGATAGCCGCCTTTCGTTCGGCTCAACTGTGAACAGCACTTGTCTCAATTCAACGTCTGGTATTGCGGAAGTAACTCGTAATACAAAACGCCCATCCAATCCTATACGATACACAGTATTACATTCTTCAAATGCAGACAGGTTTTTTTTGAAGTGTTTAACAGTGGCTTATTTCCTTTTCCCAAACCTTTTAGACTTTTCATTTTTAGAGCAATCCATTTCTTATCACTTGTGAACCTTCTTTTAAAAAGACGATTTCTTTTTGTACCTTTATGCAGAGAAACGTACATAGAATCGCAATCCAATTTTTTTTCCTTATT